CACACATACACACACACACAAACACAGAGAGAGAGACAGACAGACAGACAGACAGACAGACAGACAGACAGACAGACAGACAGACAGACAGACAGAGACACACACATACGCTCCTGAACACGCACAGACAATTATACATATTTATAGTGAAATGACCTCGCGAACACTGCTATTCAAATTCCACACCACTTTCCACTAGCCACGCCCTTGACCTCATGGCAGCTAATGACAGTAGAGGTCTGCTGCTGATTAACCGCTTGTAGTTTCGTCTCTATCCCATTAGCTCAGTCGGGGTCAAGCGATGTTGATAGCGTTCTCAGAAAATAAACTTAAACCCCCTATTCGGGACTTACTTCACCTAGTGCGCACATTCGGGGTCTCGCCATTCTCCGTGGGGCAATATAAAGGTCGCGGTGACGTCATGGACGAAAGACGCTTTAAAATTATTTCAAGAATGGGGATCTTATTTAGTCTAAAATTTATGTTTTACCACTTCCTCGTTTAGGAGGCCCCGAGCTGTGGTTTTCTGTGCGTTTCACAACTTCTCACAATGATGATGATGATGAAGAAGAAGAAGAAGAAGAAGAAGAAGAAGAAGAAGAAGAAAAAGAAGAAGAAGAAGAAGAAGAAGAAGAAGAGGAGGAGGGGGAGGAGGAGGAGGAGGAGGAGGAGGAGGAGGAGGAGGAGAAGGACGAAGAGGAGGACATGTGCCACTGACTGCTGCCAATCTGTCACGTTGGCAGAAAGATATTTTACAGTAAGTTATTTCACAGTTTACAGCCGCAAAAGTACGAAGTACATGTTTTCAGTCGCATTTTATGAGCAGTAGAGCGAGAGTCGTTTTTGTAGGCACCTTTCTTTTCTTCTCTGTGACACTTTGGTTCATATTACACATAGACCTCTGAATCTATCCTGAATCGTGCACTCTCATGGCCGACGCTCGTTTCTCGCAGCAAAAACTGCCCTGCATTTGTACGCACCATGAGTGAGTGCGAAAATGAAAGTCAGAACACATTTGTCGCTCTTGTCGAGTGCGCGCACAATCTTTTCCTCCTTGCCCGTTATGTATCGGTTTTAAATAGAGTTAAATGGAGCTCTCCCGGGTGAACTGGCATTACAACAGAGTGAGTCGTCTAGAGTTCATAAAACAAATTCATTTTTTTCTGTCTGACATTTGGGGTTCTGACGAATATCTCGTCCTTATTACAGAAGGACTAACAACAGCAGATGATGGTACACACTGAACTAACAGTCATTCAAAAGAATACCTCAGCAGGTCTGATGTGTCAATGAGTGCTGTTACATGAAACACCGTTGTGGCACAATTGTGACGTCAGAACAGGATTATGTTCAGTGCAATGTGACCAGTATTACGTCATGCAGTCAGTGATGTAGTCACTATTATTAGTTATGTCACACATTCCTTCAGTGTCAGAGGGAAAATCCCAATCCTACAACAGAGATGGGCTTGTCTGTGTTGTTCAGAATGAATACACCGCGATACTTGCGTCCACAAAGTGAGGATCAAATCACGAAACAAGAAACAAACGCTTACAAAATCTGTACGCTGTTTGGCCAAGTGATCGAGTACACAAAGTAATCGGATGTTCGATTATTCGAGCAACGATAAACGATTGCTCGATTTTGTCGTAATTTTAGTATATGTAGTACGGTATTGTATGTATTGCTTGTGCTGTAGGCTACATCACACAAAGATTGCTCAAGACCTTACGAGCCGAGACTACCTCAACTGGCAGGAGCAACTGGCGTAGTTCACAGAGCAGGGGGTTGCTTCCTTCAATATATATATATATCATCATATTGCATTGTAGTCTGGGACAACCAACATTTCCTTCTCCAGAAATCATCACAGACATCCGACCAGCAGAAGTCACAATAAAAATGACGTCAGAGAAAGAGAGATCCGCCCGGATCACGCCGGTTGTCACGTGACGTTGTTTCTATTTTTATCGTTATTGCTCTGGTCATCGACGACCTCCATGTTGAGTAGACTTGTGCCCTTGGTGACTTCGTCGTCAAGGTCAGTGACCCCCTGCATGACCAGGTACCGATGTACCACAAGCTTCCAGTCCACCACGTCCTCGATGTTCTGGGCGGGATGGAAGCCACCTGGGGAAACGAGAACATGGTCGGATCATCATCATCATCATCATCATCATCATCATCATCATCATCATCATCATCATCATCATCATCATCATCATCATCATCATCATCATCATCATCATCACAATCATCATTTCCATCCCCAGTTTCAGCACGATAGACCGCGACAACGACAACTGGTCAGGCAGCTGCGCCCGCGCCGACAGGAGCGGTTGGTGGTT